AATTATGAAATATGTGGCTTTTTACGCCTTTGCTCTCGGGCGTATGATTTAATTCAAATAATCTAGGAACACTAACAACTACTAAATACGCAATCAAAAACGATTTTGATTTATTCATTTAATTTTCGTTAACAGTTGATGCATAATGACACTCTTCAGGTAAGCCTTTTTCATATAATAACCAATTTGGTTCTATGCTTTAAAAAATATATATTTATTGCATATAAAGTCTTGTTCTTTTGCAAACTTCTGGGCGGTCATATTAAAAACTTCAATGAAGTCGGCTAAAACACTATAATTACAGTTTAATATTATTACATATTCATTGGTACCGTACGTGTTATCCAGTGTTACTCAACTGACATTTCTAAATAGTAATAATTTTAATAAAGGACCAAGATTTTGGTTATTTATTTCGAAACACAAAATATATCTATCAAATGGCTTCATTCACATTTTCACCTGACATTGTAAGATACTAGTGTTTTTTCAATTATATTTTTCTATATTTCTTTTTTCTGCATTTAATTTTAATGCAAAATTTAAAAAGATCAAAAATGTCTTCATGACATATTTATAGTTAACTGTGATTTGAACAGCTACTACAAATCATACTGTTTTATATGATAAAAAGTCTGCAACGATAAAACAGAAAAACGAATCTTTCATCTATTTTGCAAACCCTTGAAATTTAACAAACGTTCATTGTATTTGTTCCATTTTTTCGCAAGAATCTTTTATGTAGATTTTGTTCACACACCACACGTGGCGTAATAATTAATTTTGGAGTCGTTAAAAATGAACGTGTACCCAATGATTAAATAACATTCAAACAGTGTAATGTTGACACAATCACTTATTATATAGGATTACACTTACTTTATCTTGGTCTTTTTATTGAATAATCAAATGAATATTTTAAATTCTTATTAGTTGATATAACTACACGATTTAAAAGAAAATGCAACATAAGATGCAAAAGGGACAATAATAAAATTATAAGTCAAAACCAAACAGACAATAGTACGGACAAAATCAAAACGGCTAAAAAACATCTGTCCTCAGAACAAATACAAAACTAGAGACCGACAAACTAAACAAACTGATGATTAGCACAATTGTGTAATGTCAATAAAGGTCCCATTGGTCGAGTCTGAAATTTTAAATATTTATTCTTCAGCAGAGGTATGGTAATTTTGTTATGTTTCTCTATTGCATTTTCAAATAATTTATTTACTGTAGGATCATATTGCAGATGACGATATGACAGAGGATGATGATTTGAAGAAGCTACTCCTGGCCAGCTAGTTGAAGTTAAAAATTCATTTACATGTTCGACATTTGCATGACATTGGTCTCTTGTGGATATTTGTTTCATTCGTTATCATGCAGCATCTTCTTATTTGTGTACCTATGTACTGTGCATTGTCGAGTAGAAACAATACAATCGATACCAGTACATTACTTGTGTATTGTGAACAGCTAAAGCTGTCAATTTAGATTTTGAAATATTCATGACAAGTGCATTATTTCAGACAACTGTGAGATATAGCATTATACACAGTCGTGCATGTAATTTCGAAATGCATTTTAACATAACAAATTTTCAAATGACGCATGTTGATTAATAAAACATTGTTGAAATAAACATCTTTTGGTCAGACTACTTTAACTTTACATTGATTAATCTGTTGTTGAATCAAATGAACAGTTTGTTTTTGATTTTGATGTATCTAAGTGATGTTAATAGGGACCAACTCAAAAATCATAACATGTTTCAATATTACACAGGTTGATTAACAACCGACGAATGCAATATACTATCTTATAAAAATATGAAAAATTTCAAATATTAGATTGTTGTAGGTTAAACTAAAATAAAATGCAGTAGTAATGCTATGAGACTGTTCAGACATAAAATAGAAGTCAAAATATACATTTAATTTTCAATAAATAAAACAATTAATTATAGATATGGCAAATGATAAGGTTTCACTTAATAAACATGCTTGTGTATATAGAGAATATCATATGGCTTTTTCATTATCACACCTGTATCAACACGAGACACTAATATAATCACGAGAGCTCTCATTATACCATATCATATACACTTTATTATATACATGTACCTTTAGCACAACTTATCTCTCTCGTGCATTTTTCACAACACTTGACGAAATACATATTAGGGGTTTGATAAAGCTTTTGTAACCGTGACTGATATCGATATCATTACGGATGGCTGATACAGCGCGATTTTCATCAATTGTATTTAACATACAATTTACCTGTATCTACTACTAAAGTATATGATAATATTCAATACAGTATGTTGACCTCTAGATGCATATTCGATATTTTTTTAAAGGAAGAGGGGTAGAATCAAAAGGAATTTATTGAGTCAGTCGTAATGATATTGGTTGTTAAATCCTTTTTCTTCATTGATATTAATCTTAACGTATTACCTATACAAAGAAATAAATAAAAATAAGATAATGAACAATAAATTTAAAAACAAATGGATTGCCATATTCACACATTTGCCTTCTTCTGGTTCTTTTTTCATGTGGAATTTTACTTTTCTTTTCCTGTCTCTCCAAAAGTCATTTGGTGCAAAACAACAAAAACACAGAAAAATCATCTGACATTTAAATTTACTGATTGTTTCCTATTCTCCATTGTGACATCTTTATTAAGAAGATTCACAAAGTGGGTGTTGGATGCATAATATTAGATGCTTACACCGACTCGCTCTTTTATTGCTCCGTTTGTTACCTTGATTTATATCTTAACGGACTAATGAGATTTAAGCATCTGTAAAAAGTAAAATAACAAAGATACCGAACTCCGAGGAAATTCTAAACGGAAAGTCCCTAAGCAAATGGCAAATCAAAAGCTCAACTACTATAGACTACTGTTGCCCCGAATTAAAAACAATTTTTATCGATGTATTTTATAGTAATTTTCCTTTTTTTTCAAACGGGAACATGTATATGTGTATCTCTTTAACACAAAGCATATATCACCACTCTCTGCGAATAGTTGACCTAGACGGTCTGCCTCACGTGCGTCAAACTTATGCTGAACAATAAAACTCTCATACATATTTTACCAAATGAAATTACACCGGTAACACAATCGGAGTGTTTCTTTAGTTACATAATATTGAAATGCATTATCGCATCATGTAATGCAAAACATATTGAAAAATACAATATGCTGTCTATAACAATTTTAATAACGTATGAGAATGAACATCTGAAAAAACACAAACCAACCATTATCTACGCAAATGCTGCTATGGGTTCAATGAAGCTAAACGAACAACATCTAAATTTGTGTTATAGATTTGGAACTGCTACTTAGCAAATTGTTTAAGAAGATTTCACCAATCAATGTTTCATAGTGATTTTAGATTCAGGGTGCCATAAATATTAATTACCTCAATATATAAATATGTTCATGTTTTTCAATACAGAGTTTATATTGATAACTTCAATTACATTTGAACTAGTTTAACTCCCTATATTGAATTTTGAATGTTTAATATTTATGAACTCGATAAAATGTTGTACTGGATATCGAAAAAAATAATGTCGGAATATGAGAGAACGTTAGTAAAACCACATCGATATGTCTTTTGAATATGAATGTTACAAAATAGCACAATTACTTGTCTTCTGTCATATCCTTACCTTATAAAATGTTTCCTTGGCATTTAATTGGAAAGAACAAAATTCATATAACGAAAACCCTCTGAGGTCGACCTTTCAATTCAACATATTCATTGATGCCTATTTAAAAGGATGAGGAAGTTCAAAATCAAAATCAGCCAGTGTTTTATGGCTGTTTTGAAGGCTAAGTCATGTTAAAGAGAAAGGCCTGTGTACGTGTTATATGGAAAGTGCCTTCAATAGTCATGTCAAATCCGTTATTTTTCGACTCTTTTCACACTAATTTCATATAAGTTTTTCCTATTTTATCAAAATGTCCTTTGTGAAAAATATAATTGAAAATACATATTTACTGTAACCCATATAAAGCCTTCTATAATGTTAAAGACATATATGCGAGATACAAATTTTTAGACCTGTGATAAGATGATTAAAACTTTTGATCATTTTCTCCTTGACAACATCTCTTTGCCTTTTGGCAATAATATTTATGAGTAGGTTTCTATGTATTACTTTTGTCACTTTTGATAACCGACGTGCTCCTGCAGTATGGTGACACCAGATAAACACTCATCAAAGACACCAGACTTATATAATTCGTATACAAGATAGATGCGCGTTTCTTCACTGAACCTAGAAGAAATTAACATGGATCTGCTTACCCTTCCGGAGCACCTGAGATCACCCCTCCCTTTCTAGTTTTTGGTTGGGTTCGTGTTGCTTAGTCTTTACTTTTCTATGTTGTGTCTTGTGTACTATTGTTTGTCTGTCTTTTTATTTTTTAGCCATGGCGTTGTCAGTTTATTTTCGATCTATGAGTTTGAATTTCCCTCTGGTATCTTTCGTCCCTCTTTTAAGGTGATAGGCCAATTAGAATACATTTTTACAAAACATTAGATCCTTCTTCTCAATAAATTAGTGCCCTAAATGTTGTTGGCATATACATATAAAGCCCAACGACTGGATCTCAATGACTTGACCATTGATGAAATCACGTGTTTTGGTATAATAGTCTAGGCCACATTACTTCTAGAAAGAGTGAAATAGTAGCTAGAAAGATCAGAAACAGAGTGAAACAACAGTTTTACTCGAAGTTTGAGTATGCACAAATCATCAAAAAACCTGTGTATATTGGAAAGAAGTAAAGTGATTGGTAATGTTCGCATCAAATAACACGGTTAACACTATATTTACATAGAGGTAACCATCTGGTTCCAAGTAATGACAAGACATTCACACTAATAATTAAGCAAGCTTCAACTTGTTTGTAATTTCATTTCCACAAAGTACAAACACTAATCAAATGAATGTGTGTGTGCTTCAAAATGTTAGAAAGTAAGTTTTATTGTTATTGCATGTCCTCGACTACATGGGCTCATAATCTGTTGCTTACCAAATTGCTTCTAGAGTAATTATATGTACAAAATACGCCATTGTTTTATTAATAATGATATCACAGTTTATTATCAGCTCGACACCGGAAAAACGTCACATTGATTACGTTCAAATTAAGTCATATATTTGTTTATTTTCGATGGTTTCCACCTTTTCAGACGATGGATTGATAGCTTTGTTCACCATGGCTGTAGCCAAGTTGTCTGTGTTGATAGCGCCTTCTTTTACAACCCACTGTGGCATCGGTTTCCAGCAGCATCTAAAGCATGCTTCAATTGGTCTTCTTTCTACCCTATTACATAGTAACATTCTGAAAAAGGAATTGTTTTGTCTAAATAAAAACCAAAAGGAAATTATGCATCACGAAATAGATTTGCAACTTTAGTAATGATTCTTGTTAAGGTTCTCTCTTACTATCTTCTGACTTCAATATATCGTCATTCACTTTTCTTCCTTTGACACAAATGGAAATAAAATACCATCGTGTTCCGATTGTATACTTTTATTGAAGTTCCTAACAGTTGTATAAGTTATGTACTACTCTATAGTACTCTATCTAAACAAAGTATAAGGGGCTCTCAAGGTAGATTTAAAAGCACAATTTCGACAGGACAAATATGATATTGTTTAACAACTAATCGTTTCAAGTGAAAAACTAGTGCCTCTTGATAGAACCTCCAGTAAAATAATTTCCAGATCAAAGTCCTAATATAATTGTAAAGACATAATTTCGAAAGAAACATCTTATGAAAGGCTTGTAGCCAGTTTTTATGTGTCTATTGTAAAAGTGTTTAAAAAATAAATACGCTTTTGTCGACTAAAACAAGCATTTTATTTTGTATAAAATGTGGATAATATATATTCGCTCGTGTATATTGTTTACATCTTTTGTCCTCATTCATGAGTGAACTGATTTTTTTCTGTGCACACCTTCTAAATTTTTATACTCATCATCAATAAGGTTTATTTGTTTTTGCAATACAGCATAAGAAGTTATTTGCATATGTGACATTAATTCCTTGTGTAGACATTAAAATAACGACTCGTTATTGACAAAGATGAATAAACAATTTAAATTGACCTAGTAAAATCAGAGTAATATTTTTTTGAAAACAAGTGGATGTAAAATGGTGACATTGCATCAAATGTTCAAAAGCAAGTAACGCTTGATAAATTTTGTGCTGCGTCAAAAGCGCTACCTGAACATTAAAAATAAACGTTATTAGATAACTACCCTGGTCTGAAAATTGATAGATTGTCAAAACTGATTGCTTTGAGGTCTTCTTCAACTTCGCCCTGAAAAAAAGTAACATCAACAGTTTTAAAAACAAAAACACATGTAATGCATGTATTTGCTTATACGAATTTGTCAAAAATAAGCTGTAGAAAGACATAGGCGAAAGTTGGTCTTCACGGAGTTTGGAATTTATTATAACATGTGTACAGAATATTTAAATAATGATTCCTGTACGATTGAAAGCTTCATGTTCAAAGGTTTCAGTAAATTTTATTATATGAAAATACAGCATAAATGTCTGAATATGAATAAATCAGCGTTTTTGTCATAACATAAGAAATTAGCGCAAATATACTAACATAAAAATCAGCTTGAAAGTCATAACATAAAACATCAGCGTTTTTTAATATATGACCAATCACCTTTGTTTTTGGATAAAGGAAACTGCTGTCCTTGTTCGCACCATAAGAAGATACCAATACGAAATGCTTGCATCCTACAGATTTAGCCATCGCTGCGGAATTTACTACATAATCATGATCTACTTTAATAAATCCAGCCTATTAACAAAAAATAAACGTTTTTTTTTTCTTTACAATTAGCATATGTTATTGAATTCATTACTTGAATAGTTTCAAATGCCAAGTTCTCTTAATCACTTTTTAAAAACAGTTTTATCTAACAAATTCAAATATTCACATTAAACCTTTTTGATTTCCGACTCTACATAACAAAAGTGTTTAGTGACCCTTTTTTAGAGACATTTGTCTGTTTATCAAGGACAATATATGATTGCTTACTTATGTAATAACTGTACGAAGACAAGTGCTCTCCATTTTTTTTTCGTTGGTTGATGCAGTCAAGCATTTTGGTTTTGTCAGGTTTAATGGAAATCTCAATTTTTAAATCTAACTTGGACTTCGAATTTTTGTTTAACCTTTTTTACTTGATTTTTCCCTGCCATTAAAATTAAATTAATTTTAAGAATGAGTATATTTTGTGTGATGGCAATCTTAATTTTGTCGAATGGGGATATTTATTACTATACTATAACTTAGTCATCATTCTTAATACGGTTCACTTTGTTTTCAAACGTACCTTTTTTATATTAAGAGATATTAATACAAAAATCACAAACACCACTCCGTGCGTACACGTTATTCATTTCTATAATATTAAATAACATTGTTTTTATGGTAATTGTTATAGTAAGTTTTATTAGGTGTAACATTAATAAAAATAAGTTAGCCATACAAACTTTTCCACCGGATTTCGCTTTACTGGTACCAATGCAACAAAAGCCTGTATCCACGTCTTGGAAATCATGTTTGTAGTCGTTTAAACGATCGAAATCTACCACTTTTTGTTCCTGTCGCAAAAAATACAACTACAGGTAAGTGTCTTTAGTTGTGCTTTTTCCATTATCATTCACTGAATATTCAAATCTTTTTTAATTCAATGAATTAACTTAGTACGATAAACAAAATTCCATGTGATAAATATTTCTAGAACGGTCATAAAAGTATCAACTTCCCTGGGTTGTATAAGGTATATTGTATAGTGTTTTTGTTTAATAAATGTATTTGATGTCTGAAAAGGGGAAGTTAACGCTATAAGTAATCAGAAATGCTGACTTGATCTAGCTAGAACACTAAGAATTATACATGTATAATTTAAGTTTGAAATTTAAATGCTATAATTATAAGCATTTTTTTGTAATGGCCTGAGGTTCCATATATCTCTGCTGGTAGGAAGTTGTTTGTTCGCCTAGTAACTGATGCTTTGATATTGGCATAATTCAATTGTAGTTAACATAAAGTTTATCTACTATGAAATATCTCAAAAAGGTAAAATACCATACTGCATAGCAGGGGTGGTATAAGGCGGTGATAGTCCTTTCTGGTAACGTTCTTTTGTTTACCCGTAGAAAGGCTTGCATAGTCCGCGGTTTTATTCTCCAAAATTGGACCATCCAGACGGGGTGCGGACTATAGAGTACAATAAGCAAGAAATAAGAGAAAAATTTCAATTTCGCGGGCGAGGTGGTTTGTTTACGTTCCGCCATCTTTGTTATTTATATTGTAGAGGGCGCTCTTATCATTTTTCAAACTAATAATTTTAACTCATCCATATTAATAAGTTATTTCTATTCAATATCAAATTAATACTGATAAATATAAAAACTAAACCTTTCATTACAAATTTCTCGTTTATTTTCAATGCATTGGTTGAAATAAACTGGTATCTGCTTGATTGAAACGATACAAACATAGTGAAAAAGACAACCGTAAACCAGCTTAGAATTTGTAAACTACAAAACGTAATCGGTTATTGTTTTCGTTCCGTTTTGGTGTTTTATACTGACTAATATGGTTTGTATTAGCTTAAGACCCTTCAAACATTAATGTGATAGATATATTAAAGACTGTTTTACAAAAGGATGGAACTGTTTTACTTTCAAAGTCGTATTATAGTGATATCTGTTATGTACGGATTTCGACTCTCACCGGTTAGTTTCTTCTTTTACACGTGCTTTTTAAACTTCCTGTTTAAGCATACACAAGTTTCTAAATTGTTTTTTAAGTGAATTAAACTTATTTTAACAATCATGAAGCGTTCTAGAATCATTTACAAGCAGTTTCAGCTTCTGTTTGATGATGGAAAATAGGTTTTCCCAAGAAAATACCGCAAACGACCGCACAGGATTTGAAATTACCGGAGTTTCATTAGACCTTTTCTAACAGTTACAAAAAGTTTTTTTACCTAAAATTTCGTGGGGAGAAGGGGGTGCGGACTATGTACCAGTGCAAACTATACAAGCCTTTCTACGGTAAATGTCAACAAAAATAAAATTAACTTTATTGGTTTTGGAGCATTCTATGCTTTTCTATTTAATTTTATGGTTATATGCTACATGTACTTACAAACTCTAAATCTTTTTCAAGCTGAACTTCTCTCCTCCCAATTAATATAACTTTCTTAAATACTTTTCTCTTACTAAGTTCTTTGACCAGTGCTTTTCCTGTTTCACCAGTATAGCCTAATACAAAAGCCATCCTGTCTGAATTTGAAGTATTTTTAGAATCAGCTTCTATTGACATTCTGAAATACAAATGTGTTTAAGAAAGTAAATGTTGATTTATTATAAGTCAAGATTTTGGGCTTATCTTTCCTTCCGATTCCGATTTGTTAATGAATTTTAAGCAAATACCAAGGTTACAACTCAGAAAAGGTTGACTTAAGACAATTTTAACTGCTCTTTTGTAAATTTCCTTTCAATATATACAATGTATTTAAAGATATATATGTATATCTACATTTTTCCAAACCATTGCTATGAGATGAGTTTGTGAAGATTATCCAACAAATTGTACGAAGAAGGCAAATTTATTTGTTTCAGTAGACGTTGATTCATAACTTGTTTAGATTCTGGACGAATAAGAGTTTGATATATGCTAAAGATACTTTTCATTTATTAGATGCCATGTCTGATATAACGTAATGGTACTTACACTTAGTTTGCAATTTTAACTTGCCAAGCTGAATTTGGCGATTTATAGCAGTTCTGTTCATTCCTAGTTGATGCTCTATACCGTTGATGTGTTTTGAGTAAATACCTGTTGGTCTCGTCCGCATTTCAATTTAAAATTGTCGTCTATAAACAAAGCATGTCGTGCCATGTAAGAATCCTTTCAGTTAGCTATAAATCCAGGTTTAATCCACCATTTTCTATATAAGGAAATGCATGTACCAAGTCCGGAATATGACAGTTGTTTGCTATTCGTTTGATGTGTTTGAGCTTTTGATTTAGCCATTTGATAAAGGACTTCCCGTTTCCTTGAAGTTCGGTATTTTTGCTATTTTACTTTTTTGCTATCTTTGATGAGTTGCTGCATCAGTGCTGTAAACCCCAATTCTCATTTTTTTTCATACCGATTTTCAGGTGAAAGTAAGAACATAAAAACAAGGATTGTTCCCCTTTACCTACTAATCTCAAACAATGATTTTGTATTCAATTTACATAGTTTTGTCGGATTAAGTATGGAACAATTGATGAACTTACCTTAAATTGTGATATTAAGAATTAACTGCGGAGGTGGTTTTTGCGTCATTTAGTTGATAGTATTATTTATTTTACCAAGTGATAAAAAAATGATCTTGAATGTTATCTGTAATGTTGACCTAAATAGATATTGGCAATCAATATATAAAAGTACTCAAATATATTTATTTTTAGTTATTCTTTTGAGGGTTTTCTATTTATAAGTTATGAATTCGTAACAAAGAAAAATTGATTCAAGACAGTGAAATGATGGAAAGTATAAAACCAATCTATTTTATTAAAATTTGAATGACAACACAAGCTGACTGGTTTCTGCATTATAATTGAAATAATTACAAAATTAGTTTTTTTTTCGAATTTCAATGGCTACAAACTATTTTTTCACTTCCCATCTGAAACAAACTTCTATTAAGAAATTTAAAAAAAAACCAATTTACTATGAAAAAAAACAAGCCTCTCCCACAGAAGATAACTGCTCTTTGCATAATTAATCTTTTGATGAGGAGACATCATTTACGTGATTTACATAAACCTCAGTAAGTCTAAAACAATCATTTGTTTCAATAATATAGAAGTGAATTGCGCTAAAGAGTTGGACTGATGATAACTTATAAAGAACTTTTTGTAGGTAGTTAAAGTTCATGGTTTGATTCCCCAGTTTTGTCAAGCGAAATACTTCTAAATGGATATTTGCAGTTGCGTGAAAATTAGTGGCATATAAGAATACAGGTGGCTCGAAATCAAAATAATATGAATCATAGGGTGATGTTTCTTCATTTGGACTGTTAATTGGTGAGCTAGAACATTAAAAATTAAACCCAGTTTATCAGTGTAGTATATGTAATACAGGGTATATTCAGATCACTCATCAACATGTTGCATATTTGCCGCTGCACTTGATCCAAACATTTAACAACCAATCAACCATTAGGAGACTTCAATTAATCATAAGTTGACTTCAATTCAGCCTATAGTGGTAATATAAATGCTACTTTTGCTCTACAAGGCAGATATAAAATCATTTTGCTATGGTCGTGTATCTAAACTTATGAGTATATATAGTACAAAAGAAAGTAAAATAACAAAAATACCGAAATCCAAGGAAAATTCAAAACGGAAAATCCCTTATCAAATGGCAATATCAAAATTTATATTTATATTACATTATATTGACAACAATGTGTGAACAAAAAGAAACATACATAATAAGTAAAAATTGGTATATTCATATCTCAAATTTGCCGTGGACATAAAACAATCATCTAATCAGGAGACTTCAAGACCGCTTACAGTGGTAGTATAAATGCTACTTTCGCTTAAAAAGGCAGTGTTTCCTTTAGAAACATTGTGTTATGATCGAGTCTAAAGTATTTAATAGTATGCGTATATGATGCGTTATCTATCGTGATCAACCTCTCCTGAAACAGAACTGATTTTTGTTTAACTATAGTTTAAAAATATAACTTTATATCAATAAGAATGGACACATTTTCGAAAACAATTTTAGCAATAAAACATTCAATTCCAGGTCAACAAATAAAATTGTTAAAGTTTTTAGTTCTAGTGTGCATTTTGTCGTTAGTATTATTTTTTATGTTCAAGTGTAAATATATCTTCTTGATACGGTTTCAAGGACACTTTTATTGTACAAAATATACTGAATAACAAAAGAAACCAGCTCCTAGTTATTAAAAAAATCCTATTGCTTCATCTCCAAGTATTAATCGGATTAGCTATGAATATTGACGCAATATTAAAGACATCATAGACAATTTTATACAGCCAATTTAAAAGAAAACCAGAAAAAAACAGCTTTTCATTTCGCACAAATTAATATTTTTTTAAATGCCGGTAATTTTAAGCTATTGAAAATCACTACTCAAATAAAAAGAACGAAAAGATAACTATTTTTTACATCTCCAAACGCATTTTGAACCAAGAAGTAATAAACAAAATGATTAACTTATGCCTTTTGTTTTTTCGATACTTTTGATATAATAAAAACCGGTTCAAAAAAAATAAATTTGTCCCCTTGCATTTTTATTTCTTCTGTTTTATGATTAATATTTATCAATTAAACAAAAGATTGAATAAAACTTTCAGACGAAAAACAACTTGGTCGGGCAATGTGCGTTTTTTCTGTTGGTCAGTCTATAAAACAGTATGATTTATAGTTTCTTTGTATAGCATGCACTTTGCACAAACATATATATTAAGGAAACCGGGTAGTAGAAACCGGATTGATAGTTAGTTTCGTTTTCCGTAGAAGATTCTCTAGTTGATTATGGTTGTAATGTTTACAACTT